GTGTGTCATATCCCAAGACAAGTGACCCATTATTACTGCAGGCAAGGTAAAATATTTCTACTCTAATGCTCTCATATCCCTCCTATACAACTAGTTTGACCCTTATGATATTATGCTTTAATTTTTATTCCTGAATTTAACCTTCTCTTCTTGTCATGAGTCCCTTGATTCCAGGGCATTTGTGTTGTTTACTGATGCCCATCCAGCTCCAAGTATGGAGCCAGCAACATAGAACACTCTGGGGCTATTAGAGACTCAATAATTCACACCTGTACCATTTAATCTTTCTAAGTCACTAATCATCTGTATTGTGTTCTCTTCCATCGTTAACAGCGACTAAAATGTCTGAAAATGGGACGATATAAGAACCCAGTATACTGTGGCATGGACAAGAGTGGAAGCCAGGAGACACTCAAGTAGGAGGAGGATGGATTTCAGTAATCTATGTGGGAGCTGATAGTGGCCAAGATCAAGGCTGAGGTTGTGTATCCATTGTGAGATATGGTAACAGGATTTATATAGATTATGCCTAAGCACTTTCTTCTGTTTGGATTTGCAATTTTATCATACATAAAATCAGCTAAATTAGAAAATATGACATATTTATCATTCTTCATCACTTTGCCCACATTATCTAGTTAGTCATCAAATTATGTTGACTTTGTCTTCTAAATATCAGTTAATTCCACTCATATCCCCCTAATCTCATGGACACTTCCTTAGTTCATATGCTTGCCATCTTTTTTAACTAAAATACTTTTTAAAAATGTATTCTTTCTTTTCAGTATTATCTCACATTCATCAATGTTTTCTTTATTATTTCAAGGATAACACGTTTCTATGATCTAAATTAAACCATGCCTTTTTCCCCCTTAATTTCCTTTATTGGCTTTCCTTGGTTTTCATGATTGTATCATGCACCATGCTAGAAACTCATTGTGTCTATGAAATTCAATTTTCCTTCATTTCTTTCTTTTTATTTCCATAGAAGTGAGAATGTGTTTCCAGTGTCTCTTGCACCAAAAGAAGAAGAAGAAGAAGAAGAAGAAGAAGAAGAAGAAGAAGAAGAAGAAGAAGAAGAAGAAGAAGAAGAAGAAGAAGAAGGAGAAGAAGAAGAAGAAGAAGAAGAAGAAGGAGAAGAAGAAGAAGAAGAAACTAGGACGTGTTTCCAGTGTCTCTTGCACCTTGCCTGACTTAATTCTTGGCAATGAAATAGGAGGTAAAACACTGTGTGCAGGTTTACTCACTTGCTTGAGAGGATGTTTGCTGGAGTTGTGGTGGAATGTCAATTTTCACTATTGAAGAATCATTGTAGGAATTATGGATTTTTTCACATCAAATACATTATGATCTGTGCATCTGAACTGATCAATAGTAGATAGCTACTTCATATGGGTCTCATACAAAGTTATCAGCATATCCTTAGGGGATAAATTTAACACACATGCAATTTTTAAAGGGAAAAAAATTAAGAAATAAGAAAAGAGTGTATGTTGCAATTTAGTTTACATGTTAGAAAAAAATCACTGACAATAGCCTCTTAAAATAAAACTTGTTTCTTGTCACTCTGCTTCTAATCTCTGTTGGCACCATCTTATGAGCCTTGTTGTCCATATTGGACCCTATCAGTGGAGGTACAGCTAAGTCCCTGCAATCAGCCATAGATATATCTGTAGCATTTGCTTCTTAAATTTGTTGTTCCTTTTGCCTACTCTCACCAAATTTAGCATCTAGGATAATTCTGACACACAGTTCTCTTCTGTGATACATGATTTGGGCATGATAATGTTATGATTTGTAAAATCAAACCTCAATCTTTATCTCACATGTTTTTAATGCTGCTTATTCTGTTTCCAAGGTAAATAAAACTTCTGTTTCCTTATCATCTCCAAATCTGTAACTTCTTTTTATCTCACTGCTTCTCCCATCTGTGTATAAATGAATCTGACACACTCTCAACACAACCTTAGCTAATAAGTTATATTTTATTAATTTTACTTTACAACACATGGTTAAAATGATCATAAAACTTCAAGAGGTTGAGGGCTTGGAGCCCAATTTGGAAACTCAGCTTTTGACATAGATCTTCATCCAGTTGATCTCCTGTTTGCAAAACCTCAACATTACTTGGTCAATATTCACTACCTTCCTCTTTAGGGAAGATCTGGATGTAATAATTTTTGTTAGGTGGCTGAAATATACCAAGAATTCTTCTGAAACTTTGAGATGGTACATGGACGTATGCAATGTTTTCACATTAAGATTAAAATCACAAAATTTAAAGAGAACCTTAAAGATAGTACACATCAATTTCCCAGCCAAAATGGTAAATAATACCTAAGTTTAGCAACAGTGAACACATTTCTGCTTTCTGTTGCAACATGTTCTATTTGATGTGTATTCCACATTTTCAATAAACCTACTTGTTTAAGATTGTTTCTATAAAGCTATATATTTCTATAAAGCTATACATTTTCTTTTTTTAAGATTTATTTATTTGTTTGGGGGGAGGGGCAGAGAGACAGAGAGGGAGAATCTCAAGCAGACTCCCCACTGAGTGTGGAGCCAGACATGGGGCTTGATCTCATGACCCTGAGATCACGACCTGAGCTGAAATCAAGAGTCAGAAGCTCAACAGACTGAGCCACCCAGGTGCCCCAAAGCTATACATTTTCAATACAGTTCTTTGTACATTCCTTTTCTATAGGTTACATCTTCTCACATCAACTCAACTACTTTAATTTTTTCCCATTCACCCAACCACTTGGATATTATCTTCTTGACAAAGTATTACTTATCACTATCCTCTGAAAGATGCTTATTATGAGTTAACATAGTATCTTTTATTTTATTTGAGCAGCATGAAATTAAATAGGATTATTACTTCACTTATTTCAGCATCAAGACTTTACTTAATTATTGTTTACAAAGGTATACCTGCCATTTTTAATGGAGAACGGAAATTATGTTGTCCATGTTAACTTATACTTAACAAACTAAATACAAAATTATTTATATATAGATAATATAAAACTGTACAATTTTTTTTGCCTAAATACAGGATTTCAATATTAATATTTCCTTTTTTTGGTTGTTTATTTGGAGCTATTTGATTCTTGAATATTGATTCTTCATTATTTCCAACTTGTCTTTTCACTCAGTATAATACCTAGAAGTCTCAGTGCTTTCACAGATTAAATTTATTTTGAGTTAAAGAAAATAAACAATATTTGGAATATTTTTCACATAAATGCATTGTACAATAGACAAGAAATTATGATAATTTAAAAATATTTTTACAAGTTTATGGGTTAAAGAAATAATAAAAATTTACATAAGAAACACATATTTAAGTAATTAAAAAGCAGGCAATATAATTAAGTAATTATAGCCCCCTAAATTGAAAGTATTTGTAGACTCTGTAAATAAGATTAAGTAAATGTAAAAAAGCTAAATTAGAGAGCAGAGAATTGGCCTAAAATAGGATATGTCTAAAAACCAAATCTCATAGTAACTGATTTTTTTCTCCCAAACATTCTTTCTATTGTAAAATTTTTCTAGAAAATAAAACACCTAGTGGAAGGAATATATTATTGCCATTAACTTGTGAAATATCTTGGTCCTATATATGATTCCACTAAATACTGGGGACAGGGAACACAGAAAGAATCTAGCCAGTGAGCATCCAGCTGGTGCAGAAGACTATAGGCAAGCCCCACAGCAAAAGGACAAATTATCTCAGAGAACAAACTGATCATTCTGCTACAGGGTGTTCAGTCCAGGTAACCACCTGGGACCTGGGGAGTGAGAGTAAATCCCACAGGTGCATAGACAACACTCATGATATCACAAACACCTGTCTGAGCAAGGTCACCTACATAGGTCATTGGGGACATTGGATGTTTGAGCTAGATGACCTCTTTATGATGGGACACAGTGTATGCAGTGTCTACATCCCAGATGACATGGACATCACTTCTATTTGGTGCAACATCATTGACAAGGGCAAGGGCCATGGGGAATTTCTCTCCAAAAACTTGAAGTGTAGTTGTTTCTTTAGAAAGTGCTAGCCCCTACTCAGTCTCTGCAAAGTTCCATTAAGTTTACTCCCAATTTACCTCCATATTAGCAAAGCATGGCTTTAATATTAAGTTAAATTGATTTTTATTGGCAACTGATAAATATCTATAAGCAGGAAATTCATGAGCTTCTTGTAAAGGATTGTGTCAGACTCATCCACTGAACATTGATCTACATCCTTTGGAGATATGCACTGATTAAACTCCACAGCAGCTGAATGTGTATGTATGTAACTTTGTCCTATGTGTCAGTCCAAGAGACAGGAAGGGAGAGAAAGTTTGGAAATTTTGAAGACCAGAGAAGGGAATATGAGAGTTGTAATTGGTGCACTCTAATGAGATGGTACTTCTCCTGATACCACATTTTGGACAAGTTCACACTTATTCATTAGTAAATATATATGTGTATGGGGAGAAGGATATGGGGAAAAAAAGTAAGTTTATATCCGCAATTAAACCTGTAGTCCTAAAATTTGATTTAAACCTCCCTCCAGAAGATAATTCAATAAATTAAAATGTAAATCTATTCTAAATTCAAGTCATTTTACACATAAGTGATACATAACAGTCTCTTACAGATCACAAATAGGGAAATGAAAATGCATGGGAAAAAAGTGAACAATTACAAATATTCTATATGGTTAGTTTTATGTGATATTGTCACTTTTGATTCTAAATATTGAATTCCTTTCCTTCTCTAACCAAGACTTAGAAATAAGCCCTATTTGTGAAGACCCAGCAAACATAAACAACAATTACATGAAAGCCTGGAGTCCGTATATAAGACTGCTGATTTACTTTGTACCGAAATGGGTCCACACACTTGAGTATTAACAAAAAGCAATTACTTAGAAATATCGTAATGAAAAGTGTAGGATTCAATCTACCTAGAAAGTTCATTTAATACCTAGTTCAGAAAATTTACCAAGCAAATCTGAGAAAGGAGGGGATCCTTGTTCTGGTAGTTACATTCCATAAAGCTTTCTTTACTTCCTTGTTCCTGAGGCTGTAGATCAGAGGATTCAACATGGGGATCACCACTGTGTAGAGCACAGAAGCCACTTTGTCCTGATCGAGAGAATAGCTGGAACTAGGTCTCAGGTAGGTATAGATGGCAGTGGCATAGAACAGAGTTATAGCTGTCAGGTGAGAACCACAGGTTGAGAAGGCTTTGCGCCTCCCCTCCCCTGAGTGCCTGTGGAAGATGGAGAAGAGAACATAGGAGGTCAGGATGACCAGCAGACTTCCCACCATATTCACACCAGCAAATGTGGAAAAGATGCTTTCATTCAGGTGTGCGTCAGAACATGACAGCCTAAAAAGTGGAGGGCTGTCACAGAAGAAATGATGAATGACATTAAAACTGCAGAATGGCAAGCTGCTCACATAACTTGTGTTAACCATGGAGTTCAAGAATCCTGCTGTAAAAGGCCCTGCTGCCATTTTGAGGCAGATTGTCCTGGACATGACCAAGGGATAAAGTAGTGGGTTGCATATGGCCACATAACGGTCATAGGCCATTAACCCAAAGAGGATGCATTCAGTTGTGACCAAGGCAATGAAGAAGTATAGCTGCAGGAAGCATCCTGCAAAGGAGATGGTTTTCTCCTCTGATAATATGTCTACCAGCATCTTTGGGGTGATGGTGGAAGAGTAACAAACATCGACAAAGGACAGGTTAGCCAGGAAGAAATACATGGGTGTGTGAAGTCGGGAATCAATCTTGATTAGGAAGATCATCCCAACATTCCCCAAAACTGTAAGTGTGTAAATCACCAGAAAAAGCAAAAAAACGACAATCTGTAGCTCCATTGTGTCTGCTAATCCCAACAGGATGAACTCAGTCAGTGAAGTATGGTTTCTTCTGGTCATTTGTTACATGTATATAGTTTGCTTAAATTTCCATTAGGTCAAAATATTTTCCTCTCCTAAGTTTATAAGAAATAGAAATGTTAATGAGGTCATTCATACATGGGGAAAAACACAACCTAGGATAACACAACACAGTAAATCGAGTAAGAGGAAATTGGGGGACAAATAGATCAGCCTTTGAATGTAATGAACAAGTGTCTGTATTGAATCAGGGTTAGGGGTCTCTCAACTCACTAGTGCAAGACCACACACTCCCATTCAGTTTCTGCAAAAGCAATATGTGTTGTTCTGTTCTTTCATTCCAGCCAACACCCATATGCAAATGATAAAAATATTCTTGCTTCAAATTCTCTCATTCTGTGAACAGACGTGCGTGTTTAACTGAAATCTATTTTTTCACTCAAGACCACTCTGAATATTCTTCAACACCAAAACTCCCAGAAATCGTTCTTGTCTACCCCAAGTAACAAATATAATGACCATTTCAAATAACCAGTATTTTGACACCTCTCATAGTCTTATTAATGATTTTGTCTTACTAATGATTTTTTGTCTTATTAATGCTTTTCCCCCTAAAAGGGAAGGGAAAGAGGCAATTTTTCTTGTTGCAAATACAATCTCAACTAACATCATGTAGTAGTAGACATGCTACTTGTCCACCTCCACGAATAACGGCATCAAATCCTGCTAAATTCCTTCCTAGTGTCTTACCTGTGTAGTCTACTATTTTCTTTTTTATTAGGAGTTCTCAGTTGAAGCTTAAAAATCAAAAGTAGAAAATTTTTATTTTTTAAATGAAATGCAATGCAATGAAAATGCAAATTAACTATTTGTTAACTATTTGAATTCTAGACACCTTAATAAATACAATTGCCATGCATTTATGTTGACTTTTATAAAAAGAAATGTGTAACCATGGGAACCAGATTATGGATTTTAATTGTGAGTCAATCCTCTAAAGGCAGAAACTCCAGTCTCAAATGAGAACATATCATAATCACATGCATATATATGGAATCAAACATTATGTGGACCTTGTATCATAAAAGGTGTTCCTGATCTCTGTGTTACTTTAAAGTCTTGCCAAAATAACTGATGAATCACTATATTATATACTATATATTAACTACATTAGAATGTAAAAAAATTAAAAATAGTCTTTTGTCAAAGTAAAAAATTAATGTTAATAATTTTAATTGGCTATTTATGTTTTCTCTCTCTTTGCTGCTTATTCCAAATGAGTACATGACCCAATACCAATATATTATTCTTCCCTTGCCTTTTCAGTAATTGAAAGAATTATTTTTCTTTTCCATTTCCTTTGTGTGTATGTGTGTGTGTGTGCACGTTTCCCTTTGTCTTGGCAAGTATATGCTTTAAACCAACTCTCTTCTTGAGTGAATTTAAGGACAATGAGAAATGAAATTCATTTTACAATGTTAAGATATACCATGTCCTGAGCAAATAATACAATGGATCAGAAAACCTAAATTCTTTTTTTATGATTTTAGAATTGTGTTGGCTTTTGCAATTAATGTCTGTAATTCTGATCCTATAAGGGAATGATACAACAGATTTTCCAGATCTAAATACAATAAAGCAAAGTATAAAAACATAACAAAAATGAAACACATGGAGCATCTATACATAGAGTCTATTTCCATAGAGAAGCCATAACATATTAAAAATTTCCACTTAAATTCCCAATCAATCCTCCACACCAGCCTTTGAGGTTACATTACTTTTTATCTTTAAATTTTTTATTTTTATGTTAATCACCATACATAACATCATTAGTTTTTAATGTAGTGTTCCATGATTCATTGTTTGTGCATAATACCCAGTGCTCCCCACGCAGAACGTGCCCTCTTTAATACCCCTCACCAGGCTAACCCATCCCCCCACCCCCTCCCCTCTAGATCCCTCAGTTTGTTTTTCAGAGTCGATCATCTCTCATGGTTCATCTCCCATTCCGATTTCCCCCCCCTTCATTCTTCCCCTCCTGCTATCTTCTTTTTTTTTTCTTAATATATATAGCCTTATTTGTTTCAGAGGTACATATCTGTGATTAAAGAGTATTGCCAAATTCACAGCGCTCACCATAGCACATGCCCTCACGAATGTCTATCACCCAGCCACCCCATCCCTCCCACCCCCCACCACTGCAACAACCCTCAGTTTGTTTCCTAAGATTAAGAACTCCTCATATCAGTGAGGTCATATGATACATGTCTTTCTCTGACTTATTTCCCTCAGCATAACACCCTCCAGTTCCATCCACGTCCTTGCAAATGGCAAGATCTCATTCCTTTTGATGGCTGCATAATATTCCATTGTGTGTGTGTGTGTGTGTGTGTGTGTGTGTGTGTGTGTGTATATATATGCCAATTCCTCTTTATCCATTCATCTGTGGATGGACATCCTGGCTCTTTCCACAGGTTGGGTATTGTGGACATTGCTGCTATAAACATTGGGGTGCACGTACCCCCTCGGATCCCTACATTTGTATCTTTGTGGTAAATACCCAGTAGTGAAATTGCTGGATCATATGGTAGCTCCATTTTCAACTCTTTAAGGAACATTCATACTGTTTTCCAGAGTGGTTGCACCAGCTTGCATTCCCACCAACAGTGTAGGAGGGTTCCCCTTTCTCCACATCCCTGCCAACATCTGTCGTTCCCTGACTTGTTAATTTTAGCCATTCTGACGGGTGTGAGGTGGTATCTCATTGAGGTTTTGATTTGGATTTCCCTGATGCCGAGCGATGTTGAACACTTTTTCGTGTGTCTGTTGGCCATTTGGATGTCTTCTTCAGAAAAATGTCTGTTCATGTCTTCTGCCCATTTCTTAATTGGATTATTTGTTCTTTCGGTGTTGAGTTTCTTAAGTTCTTTATAGATTTTGGATACTAGCCCTTTATCTGATATGTCATTTGCAGAAATCTTCTCCCATTCTGTCGGTTGTCTTTTGGTTTTGTGGACTGTTCCTTTTGCTGTGCAAAAGATTTTTATCTTGATGAAGTCCCACTAGTTCATTTTTGCCCTTGCTTCCCTTGCCTTTGGCGATGTTTCTAAGAAGAAGTTGCTGCGCTTGAGGTCGAAGAGGTTGCTCCCTGTGTTCTGCCTTAGGATTTTGATGGACTCCTGTCTCACATTTAGGTCATTCAACCATTTGGAGTCTATTTTTGTGTGGTGGAAGGAAATGGTCCAGTTGCATTCTTCTGCATGTGGCTGTCCAATTTTCCCAATACCATTTGTTGAAAAGACTGTCTTTTTTCCATTGGACATTCTTTCCTGCTTTGTCAAAGATGAGTTGACCATAGAGTTGAGGGTCCATTTCTGGGCTCTCTATTCTGTTCCATTGATCTATGGGTCCTTTTTTGTGCCAGTACCCTACTGTCTTGATGATGACAGCTTTGTAATAGAGCTGGAAGTCCAGAATTGTGATGCTGCCAGATTCGCTTTTCTTTTTCAACATTCCTTGGGCTATTCGGGGTCTTTTCTGGTTCCATTAAATTTTAGGATTATTTGTTCCATTTCTTTGAAAAAAGTGGATGGTATTTTGATGGGGATTGCATTGAATGTGTAGATTGCTCTAGGTAGCATTGCCATCTTCACAATGTTTGTTCTTCCAATCCATGAGCATGGAACGATTTTTCCATTTCTTTGTGTCTTCCTCAATTTCTTTCGTGAGTATTTTATAGTTTTCTGAGTACAGATCCTTTGTCTCTTTGGTTAGATTTATTCCTAGGTATCTCATGGTTTTGGGTGCAATTGTAAATGGGATCGATTCCTTCATTTCTCTCTCTTCTGTCTTGTTGGTGTATAGGAATGCCACCAATTTCTGTGCATTGATTTTATATCCTGCCATTTTACTGAATTCCTGTATGAGTTTAGCAGTTTTAGGGTGGAGTCTTTTGGATTTTCCACAAGTATCATATCATCTGCAAAGAGTGAGAGTTTGACTTCCTCCTTGCCAATTTGGATGCCTTTGATTTCTTTTTGTTGTCTGATTGCTGTGGCTAGGATTTCTAATTCTATATTGAATAGCAGTGGTGATAGTGGACATCCCTGCCGCGTTCCTGACCTTAGGGGGAAAGTTCTCAGTTTTTCCCCATTGAGAATGATATTCGCTGTAGGTTTTTCATAGATGACTTTTATGATATTGAGGTATGTACCCTCTATCCCTATACTCTGAAGAGTTTTGATCAAGAAAGGATGCTGTACTTTGTCAAATGAGAGGATCATATGATTCTTGTTTTTTCTTTTGTTAATGTATTGTATCACGTTGATTGATTTGAATATGTTGAACCAAACTTGCAAGCATGGATAAATCCCACTTGGTCATGGTGAGTAATCCTTTTAATGTACTGTTGGATCCTATTGGCTAGTATTTTGGTGAGAATTTTTGCATCCATGTTCATCAAGGATATTGGTCTGTAATTCTCCTTTTGGATGGGGCCTTTGTCTGGTTTTGGGATCAAGGTAATGGTGGCCTCATAAAATGAGTTTGGAAGTTTTCCTTCCATTTCTATTTTTTGGAACAGTTTCAGGAGAATAGGTATTAATATTTCTTAAAATGTCTGATAGAATTCCCCTGGGAAGCCATCTGGCCCTGGGCTTTTGTTTCTTGGGACATTTTTGATGACTGCTTCAATTTCCTGAGTGGTTATAGGTCTGTTCAGGTTTTCTATTTCTTCCTGGTTCAATTTTGGTAGGTGATACATCTCTAGGAATGCACCCATTTCTTCCAGGTTACCTAATTTGCTGGCATAGAGTTGCTCATAATATGTTCTTATAATTGTTTGTATTTCTTTGGTGTTGGTGGTGATCTCTCCTCTTTCATTCATGATTTTGTTGATTTGGGTCATTTCTCTTTTCTTTTGGATAAGTCTGGCCAGGGGTTTATCAATCTTGTAAATTCTTTCAAAGAACCAGCTCCTAGTTTTGTTGATCTGTTCTACTGTTCTTTTGGTTTCTGTTTCATTGATTTCTACTCTG